CTCTTTTATCAAGCACAGCTTGCCTGCATGGCTTGTTCTGGGAAGCGGCTGGCTGCAGATGCATGACTGGTTCTTGCGGACCAACAGCCTTGCCTGCATGACTTGTTCAGGTTGCCTAACCGGTCTTAACAAGAAACTAGTTTGATGAATGACTATTGGGGATACCAGAGGTGTGAATAATGGAGGAAACTATGGTCCTCGACTATTCTACTAGAGTATCTTGATCTCAGCTGTCTGGACAGAATTAGAGGTACTTAAAATATAGCTGGTCCTTCTCCGTAGATAATCTCGATATGAGCTTTGGACTTTTGTTATCTGACTTTCCCATGTACCTCCAAGTAATAAGAAAAACCTTCTCGAGGAGGCAACAACATGGAAAAACCCAGAAATGCTATAGAAGTGAATACAACACAAATATAGATAAATTAATGTACATGTATACATCTACATTTTTTCAGACTTTTTTCAGAGAGAAAGAGAGAGAGAGAGAAAGAGAGAGAGAAGAAGATAGATAGAGAGAGAGAAGAGAGAGAGAGAGAGAGAGAGAGAGAGAGAGAGAGAGAGAGAGAGAGAGAGAGAGAGAGAGAGAGAGAGAGAGAGAGAGATCTATATTTAAATATACATAGCTAAAAGGAAAAAAAGAAACAATAGTAAATCAAATAATAACATAACAAGTTAAAACTCAACAGGAAAAACAGAAATAGTAGGGCATTAAAGGAGAAGCGTGAGAGAGAGAGAGAGAGAGGGAGAGAGAGAGGGGAAGAGGGAAAAAGAGAGAGGGAACCGGAGAGAGAGGGGAAGAGGTAGAGGGAGAGAGAAAGAGATAAACAAAGGTTAAAAAATTGGAGGGTAGGGGAACAGGGATAGCCAGTATATATAGCAGTGATTGCAGGTTACTAGGGCAGTGCTGAAGGTGCTTTCCCCAGCCCAGCATCACCTATGTGCCTCTCCACCACACTACCTGTGTGGCTCTCGCTCCACCACACCACCTGTGTGGCTCTCTCTCCACCACACCACCTGTGTGGCTCTCTATACCACCTATGTGGATCTCTCTCTCCACCACACCACCTGTGTAACTCAACACCACACCGCCACCTCTGTAGCTCTATTCCACACCACCATCTGTGTGACTCTTACATACCACCACCTGTGTGACTCTTACCACACCACCACCTATGTGACCCTTATTACACCACCACCTGTGTGACTCTTACTACACCACCACCTGTGCGACTCACTCTCCAACACACCACCACCTCTATGATTCTTTACACCACTCAGCTACCTTGGTGACTTTCACCACACCACCCCACCTAGTTGACTGTCACCACACCACACCAGCACCTGTGTGACACTCTCCTCCACACCAGTACCTGTGTGACACTTTCCTCCACACCAGCACCTCTGTGACAAACTCCTCCACACCACAACAGTTCTCTCGCCAACATCAAAATATTTTTGTTTACACATATGGGATATCCTATAAGATTTCTCAACTCTCAAGACTGAGCAGCATTCCGGAGAATCAATCACGATTTTCATCCTCACTGTGGATATTGCTTTTTGAAATGTCCTGCGTTTGATATCCAAAAATTTATATTTTCTAGTGAGGCCAGTGTCTGCAATGGACATCCGATGCTTAAAAGTGTTTTACTAAGTTAATTGTGAGTTTTGACACATCACGTACCGGGGAATTCTGGTCATTTAAATACATGTGGCAGTGACAGTCATCTGTTTGACCTTCGAAAATAATTCTTTAACACATTTTATTGCATTATCAACCTTCTTCCACGGGCATTTAATGAGCGGATATTCAAAGTGAAGTCGTTTTCCCTAGAGATATCTTAGACGGAATATCCTGGACAATGATACATTAATGAATGTTCAAGAACAGGGGCTGCATTTTGCAAATTATTTTCCATCGATCTCGACTTTTACATTTTTTTAAACACTAGTATATTATATTAAAATAATTCGCCATTTGCCTAAATATAGCAGTAGTTATTGACTACCATAATCACATAATTTAGTTTTTGTATAGAGTATATAGATAAAGATGCTATTTCCAGCAGACAATACAAAAATCTCTGTTCCGTGTGACTTAAATCTCGGCTCAGGTACTACCTCTGTGTTTCGACTTCCTTTGTGAAATGAAGTCAAACCCTCAAGATGCCGCTATCTTGGATGTTAGTGGAATCTTGCTCAAGACACTTACTAGGTTTCGTTGAATGTGTCAGGAATATTGACACAGAAGACTTGGTTCCTCCAGAAGGAAAACCGAGAAGCGGCTTTGATAACCCTAATACAGCGTTTTTGGGTTATCACCTGCTATAACAATTTACAATTGAAAGTATGTCATTGTATGCCTAAAAGTATTATTCATTATTGCTACTATTGTGTAATTATATAACAATCTATAAAACTATATGTAGAGAGAACTTCAACAAAGCGTATCTGCTTATCTTATAACAAACAAAACCCCTCCACTCACCTCATCTCCACACAACTCCTACTCTCTTCAAACAATGCCTTCTTTCTGATCTCATCTTCACGCTCTTCTCTCTCTCAGACCCCAATACTCTCCTCACATAATCTCCACACGTCTCCCTTCTCCCTCCCCCCATCCCCACCATCACTCTACACCCCAACTGGATGGGGAGGGATACATGGGGTTTAAAACTTCTCCATGTTAAAGGTTGTTTGGCCAGAAACACAAAACAAAGCACCAATTTGTTTACACCGTAAGAGATATATTATTTAAAAGACACTTTCATGCACGGTAATTGTATAGCATATTGCAGAAGCATTTGCAGAGCAATTAAATTTTATTCAATTATTGCATGCATAACTTTCAAAAAACGGCGCGGAATGAGAGGGCACCCGGTCATATGCGCGTTCATTATGTGGGGACCGTGACAGAGAAATGTTGGCAAACCGCTCGCAGGCTCTGATGGACTAATAAAGGGCATAAATAACGTCGAAAAGGCTGAAAGCTAAAAAAAAAAAAAAAAAAAAATACCCGGTATCGGAAATGATTTTTCGCGTCTACTGCATCATCAATATTCAGCGCTCGGTGTTACATCTTTCTAAACAGCCCGGGTCAGGATGGATGAGTTTCATTTCGTGTGTGCTCTGTATGGCCAATATCACGGTCTGCTCATACCAGCCTTCCATTGCTAAGTTAGCCTAGCCTCCATCAGAGGGATTGATTGACTGACTGATTGATATGTGCAACTGAACTGCTTCCCTGTTCGTAAATGTATGATTATTATTATACATTTGTATTTTTCTTATCATAATATTTAAGTATTTCTTTTCAGATAAATCTTGAACTTTTGATTGAGTGAGGTTTGTTTTTGTGGTAACGATGGGAAAATCAATTTGAGGCGAAGATGGAGGAACGGGTGAGAGGGAGGGAGAGGGAAAAAATGGAGGGGATGGGTGGATGAAGATATGGAAGGAAAGGAAAATGGAGAAAGGAGTGGGTGGATGGAAGGGAAGGTGAGGGAGGAAGGTAGAGGGTAGGTGAAGATAGGGGAGGTAAGGGCAGGAAGTAAGAGAGGGGATCGGCCCAGGAAGGGAATTGAGTGTAGCAGATAGGTGGGAGGAAAGAGAAGGAAGGGAAGGGAGATGGAGGAATAGAAGGAAGGAAAGGGGAGGAGTAGGGAGAAAGGGAATGTGGATAGATGGAAGGAAAAGAAAAGGGATGGGAGGAAAGGAAGTTGGGGGAAACGAAAGGAGAGAAACTGATGAAAGGGAGGGGAAAATATATTGGTGATGCATATTTATGCACGGGTAAAATACCGTAGTTTTGTTTTCATTTTCGAGAAAAAACCGTAAATTCAGATTCATTTTTTTTAGAAACCGACCACTGACTGTAGGTATGTTTTCTATTCAGAGCTCTAATAAAGAAATGGCGTTCTCTTTCATAATTCTTGAGAGCTGTGTTTATTAGCAGCTCTGAATTTAAACAATACATAAAATCGCCTTACATCTCAAGTAGGCAAAATTATTTCTTCTTTGTTATAGATAACTTAAAATCGCAAATTACCTTTTCATAAACACTGAGTTATTCACTAGGTAAAATATAAGACCATAGGAATGAAAGGACACTGCAGTAGGCTTACTGGCCCAAACTAGGCAAGTCCATCTCAAAGCCAACCATTTCCACCAACTCATTTGTTCAACCTTTTCCCTAAGCTTCCCAAGAATTAGCTTCAGTAGCTCAGATACTAATCAAAACCAGCCCTTCTCACTCATATATATTAGGTGTCATAGAAGGTCTGAGGAACGTGAAGTAATCAGGTTTAATTCATGGAAGGAGAGGTGTAGCTCCAGTTAAATGAATCAAGAGATTTTCGCCATCATCAGGACATATTTCGTGAAGGGAAGCAGATTTTTTTACATTATCTTCCTATGTAGCAGGTGATGTAATAGTTCTCTGCATTTTCTGTACAAGTTCGTCAGTTGGCATTTTGTGAATTTTATGAGGTCAGTCTTCCATGACTTGTTATTTAATCCATTTTTAAATGTTCTTAATCACTGAAGATATACACATGGCATGCTTATTATAAGAATTTATAGAGATTAATACCCTGTATTTACACAACGCTGAATGAATAATTATCTTCCTCCATGTATACCACTTATATTTTCCTAACAAAAAATACTTCAAGTAAAATGAGGCATTTCTTGTACCCAGTAAATTGTTTGTGTTTGAGATTTTTATAATTCTTTATATTTCTTCGTATTCACGACCTTTTACAATAATTTAGCTAGTAATCGATTATCTAGCCATTAGGAAATATTTATGATCTTAAAAGGCAGGAAATGCTTCAGATTCAGTCGAAGTTAATAATCTTGAATAAAATGCTTTCAAATGCAACAAAATATATCAACAAATTCAGTGATATCAAAGAAAAAATAAGCATTACTACAAAAAAAGAATCTTTACTGAAAGTTTACTAGGTAAAATAGAATAAGAAGCTTAATAATTTTACCTGTGAGAGGAGAGTCATCAGGGTCTTGACATTCACTGCAGAGACGATTGCCGAGTGATATGTGAGGATGACCTCGTAGATGGTATGTGGAAGCCATGTTGTAGAAGACATGTGGACAGTCTACTCGTGGTGGGTGATGTGAAGGTCGACTCTTAGGAGACATTTGTACAGTAATTTTGGTAGGAGGCATGTAGAACTATTTAATGGTAAGCAGGTCGAGGTATGATTCATAGACGATACGCGGTTATTGATTCGACTGTAGTATACGGTGTTTGATTTGAAGAGAGAACGTAGAGGGTTTATTAAATGAAGGTAGCGGAAAGAAATCATCCTAGTCGACTCATATCAGGTAGCAGAGGTCGACTCCTGAGAGGTAGCTGGAAGAGGACTTCTAAAATGCATTTGGAGATTAAATCCTGAAAGATGACTGTATGTCGAATCCTGGAAGGTTCCGAGGTCGAGTTGTTGATAAAAATGAAGCTGGAGGTCGACAAAATGAAGGTACAGTCAAACCATCTGCAATAAAAGGAAATAAATAAATTCATTAAATCACAAGTCCAAGAATTTTGATGATAAAGTTTATTCAGTTTAAAGCCTACCGATTACACTAAGGTAATTAAGAGTGTATGTATCATGTACATTATCAGGCCAGAACACTTTAATCCCTAAAATAGAGATTAAGGTAAACTCTCAGCGTATATACACTGATGAACTCTCAGTGCATATTCCTTAATTTTATTAAATGTTGTCTAAGGTTTAAAACCTTTCAAGTACACGAGGGCCATTAAGTTTGCATGTTACCTTTATATCTGTACAAGAAAATGATACTCTTATTCCAAATATTTTGATTAAAGTCAGAGCTTAGTGGAAATATCCACTTAGCTCTGACTTTAATCAAAATAAATATAAATGTATATGAACGTATACGACACACAAAAAAAGGAAAATGAAGATTATCCAAATATGTTTAAATTAAAAATGCACAAAACCCCATAACAAATAAATCATGTGTAAAGGATTGATATAAAAAAAAGTTTAAATAAAACCCCTAAAATCGTAGGAAAGGGCAGGAGAAACTGAAAAATATCGGCCTCGATATATCCCTCTTGGGCCATCTATCCCAGCATGTTGTACACCCGTGAATATACGCCCCGGGTGTCACCCGCATTTGTGTACACACGAGAGAGAGAGAGAGAGAGGAGAGAGAGAGAGAGAGAGTGAGAGAGAGAGAGAGAGAGAGAGAGAGAGAGAGAGAGAGAGAGAGAGAGAGAGAGAAAAGAGAGAGAGAGAGAGAGAGAGAGAGAGAGAGGAGAGAGAGAGAGAGAGAGAGAGAGAGAGAGAGAGAGAGAGAGATTGACCAGTTATGCTGCACTTCTGAATAAAAGTCCGTTCATTCTGGTCCTTCAATAAGTGAAGAAGCTGTCCTGAGAAATAAATTGTCTTAGGCTTTGGCAGGGAGGCAGAAGACAGAGAGAAAAGGTAAAAGTGTGCTCTGTAGTTTTATTACCTATGCCTAAGGCCTGAAATTTTATCTTAAAAAAGAGGTTTGATACGTTCACTCGTTTCATTAACTGAGTTTTATCTTCTAATGTAGTGAGCCTCTTTTACTCTGAAGTGTAGGCCTACCTGACTCTGAAGGGTGGACCTACATGACTCGGAAGGATGGACCTACCTCAATATATAGGGTACACCTGCCTAACTGTGAAGGTTAAGCCAATTTGACTCTGAAGGAAAGACTTAGTCTAGGTTCTGAATGTTTGGAAGAAGCATGAGGGAGAGAGGAACAATATTTTTTTATAACTGATTGGCAGAATTTACTTGGGAAATCTTGCAAGGTCTGAAAAAATTTCTTGGTTTAAGAAAGAGTTCTAAGGAAAATCTCTTATAATTATTATTATTATTATTATTATTATTATTATTATTATTATTATTATTATTATTATTATTATTATTATTATTATTATTATTATTATTCTTACCTGCAAGGGAGACCAGCGATTGAGAAATGAAAGGCTATTAGATTTTATTCATAAATGGAGTTTGTAGCTATAGTTCCCTGTATCATGAGCCCTTTCCCAGCATCAAGGCACCCCCCCCATGAAGGGAAAGAATGTCGAAGGTGCCAACTGAAATAATAATTTCAGATATCCAAAGTAAATCAATACATGCGCACTTAAATGTACGTAGATGTAGTGTTGACAGAGTATTGACTCCGGAAGGCCATTCGTCGAGGGAGTGGAGACTCACTCTCGTGAGGAAATTAGTGTTTCGGGTGTGAGGTTTCCAGCTCAGGGCTCTGTGGTGGGTGCTGGGTGGGCCTGTGCACAAATCACAAAATACGTTTTACCAATTCACAATGTATACGTTAACTTATGCGCTGCATATAAATTTTTAACTAAATATTAACATTTTTTTATAAAATTATGAACAATGTGTGTAACTTATATACATATATATATATATATATATATATATATATATATATATATATATATATATATATATATATATATTATATATATATATATAATATATATATATATATATATATATATATATAAATATATATATAAATATATATATATATATATATATATATATATATATATATATATATATATATATATATATATATATATATATATATATATATATATTTAACGTAGGCACGCCTTTTGCCAGAGGCGTGCCTACGTTACATTTCAGATTCCTCTCCATACTGCTATATCCCTACCTCTCCTTCAGAGTGCAGGCACTGTACTATCCACCTCTAGGACTAAAGTTCGACTAACCGGTTTCACCTGAATCCCTTCATAAACGTTAAATTGCTCGCACTCCAACAGTACGCCAAGTCATAAAAACCCCGTGTCTCCACTCATTCTAAACTAACACCCTTCCACTCGCCTGTTAGATGCCTAGGATAAGGAGGAAAAACCAGCAGTGAAACCCAAACATAATTTTGATTGGTTTCTGAATAAAATTCAAGCTTTAATCATGGATCAAAATTAAAACTTTTGCCATCTTGCAAATCCCATATAATTAATGTCACAAGTTTTGAATAAGAACGCTGAAAAGAATTTTTTTTATTGGTGAAAAATTTTCATGGATGATATACAAGCTTTACACTGTATCTACCTTCATGTGCTAGACTGGAAACAGTGGTTTATTCGGCAAGAAACAGTATAAATGTCTCCTGACAGGGGCCATTGTCAAACGATGACCCATAAAAGGTTTTAGCAAATTTTTATATTTTTTTTTAAATTTCACATATTTAAAAAAAAAATCATATAAAAAGTCCCCCAGTATATATATTATTATTGAATATGTCGACGAATTAAAATAATTGGAGACTTTTTGACATATTTCAATTTTTATCGAAAATATGTTTAGCATATGCTGCCTTATCGGTACTAGCTTATACATCCCAGCATCACAGCAAATCAGGGAACGGGTGGGGTTGAAACCCATGGATTCAAACCCCATCCGTCCATTGGTTTGTTTGCAATCGTGTTATTACGATTTTGTTAGTCAATATCACAGCCTTCATAGTGTCCTAAGGTGACTGGAGATCAGGAGGTAGGCGGTGCGGTAACAGATCATGTTAGGTGTTGGTTTGGCCGAATAAAACTGGGAAAGAGTTCATATTTACAGTGTGATCAGTGTCTTCCGTGTCAGAGTCACTAAGCAAACCATTGTTTGTCAGTGGTTTGCTTAGTGGTTCGTGATAGCAGATCTCCCCAAACGTTTATAAACGAGAACCCGTAGTTAAAGTTTTTCTTCAATCTTAATAGCATTTCTGTCATGGCAGTTTGATTTGTTACGTTTTATTCCTATCGACTGTACAAGGAAGTTTAATCCAGAATGATTACACACTGAGAGATAGCCATTTCTAGGTGCACCCTTATTAAAAAATATAACAGTTTTATCTGTCTATTCTAATTACCTATGATGAAAATTTGGTTAAGTCAATGAATGTTGGCTTACTGCTGTATTTACTGAGACTGTAAAGGTATTAATGTAAGAATTCTTAATATTTTCTTCTTCTTCTTCTTCTTCTTCTTCTTCTTCTTCTTCTTCTTCTTCTTCTTCTTCTTCTTCTTCTTCTTCTTCTTCTTCTTATTATTATTATTATTATTATTATTATTATTATTATTATTATTATTATTATTATTATTATCGTTAATATTGTAATTATTATTATTATTATTATTGCTCACACCATTTCAAACATGAATGAAGTATTTGGGAACTTGGAATTTATGTATAGCATGAGCATCAGTACTCGATAAGATTATATGAATTCTAGAAATATTGGTCTGAACTCCATGGGTCACTTATTAGACCACTCTTCCTCTTACTGAGAGAGGGCAGCACTAGCTAAAGCAGTTCCTAGTCAGCTTTCCATTGCAACCTCAATCTTTTTTGTTTAAAAAGCCCTTTGTTGAAAATGAAATAACAATCATTTGTGGCCTTTGATAATAATTTGTGAGGCTGTTGTCGACTAATTTTTTTAATATTATCGATACCTTTGAACAAAAAATCTATACAAATATCCATTGTCTGTGTCAATGAAACATGAAAAACAGAGTCTTGATATTAAAACTGCCAAACACATATTGGTCAATGTTTAACATATTTACTAAAAAAGCGCATGAATCTTACATATTTACCTCAGTATATAGGTGCTAATAGTTAAGAAATCTTTAAAGTTTATTGGTAAATGCTTTTATTAAAGAAAGACGATTGTTTCTAAATTAACCCAGAAATTGGAGAGGAAAATTTACCATGACGTTCACCTTTGTCTTGGACCATTATCAAGTTAAACCATACCATGGGCGGGGATAAAACCCTCTTATCGCGGGTGTTATCCCCGCCAGTGGTATGGTTTGTTTGCAAACCATACCACGGTAATTAGGTAATTAGATTGAAAATCTGGATTTAAAGTCTATCGGCTACACCATACAACTCGAAATGCTTTGCATAGCTATGTATGGGTTTTCTGCATACACCGCTAAATATCACCCATCTCTGTACAAACACTGTATCATGTTGAACAGGGGCATATCCTGTTCAACACCTATCTGTTAAGAATACTTTAATCACTTAAATAGGAATTAGAGAAACTTTTCGGTATATATTTCCTGCATTATCAAGTCTTTAAAAATTATTACATAAACAAACCTTTCATTATATACGTAAATGACTTCACAAAATTTTAACGTTTGCATAGTTAGGTTCTATTACCCGGTCTCAATAAAATTAGACGTAATAAAGGGATTTTCAAGAACACTTAATTTTGTTGGGAAATTGACTGATTATAAGACAGATAATTTCACCTACCGACATATTTTCTTATAAATATCAAAATATTTTTTTTTCTCTGTTAATACCTGTAATTATTTATAGTATACAAATCAAGACTCGCTTATTTTTTTTATATGAAATGTATTAAGCAAATTTCGAAAAAAATGTATGCAGGCTTGTTTTGAAGCTCCTCATTAACAAATACATCAT